GTTTGCTATCTCGTCTGCAATCCCGTTTGCCACCGCGTTTGCAATCCCGTTTGCTATCTCGTCTGCAATCCCGTTTTCCCCCGCTTTTGCAATCCCGTTTGCAATCCTGTTTGCCATCTCGTTTGCAATCCCGTTTTCCACCTCGTTTGCGATCCCGTTTGCACCTGCACCGGAGAGGCTGCAAGGGGAGGCTTCGCGGCCGCCCGCGCAGCCCGACGCCCGGCTCCATCCCTCAGCCATTGCTGCTCCCTGCCCGTTTTATTTCGTGCCCGTTTTATTTCATGCCCGTTTTTTTCCCCCCCATTCTGTGTTTTTTTCCTTTTTTTTTTCCTTTTTTTCCCCCCCCATTTTTATTTCGTGCCCGTTTTTATTTCGTGCCCATTTTATTTTGTGCCCGTTTTTATTTCGTGCCCGTTTTATTCCGTGGCTCCTCTGCAGCGCCCCGGGGCTGCTCCGGAGCCAGGCAGCGCTGCGGAGCGGCCGTTGCCCTTACGTAAACCCGGCAGCGAGGAATCCCCTTAATTCCCCGCCCGCTAATCCATACATTCAATAATTCCCGCAAAACCTCCCCTTCTTACAGCGGGCGCGGGCRGATTAGCGGCGGAGGCTTTTATCCYGCCGGGATTTAATTGGCTTCCAAGCAGGGCTTCCAAACCCGGCTCAGTGCAAACCGGGCGGTTATGAAGCCTCCAAGGGTTTGTTTGGGTTTTTCCCCAGCCCTTTGCTCCCATCTAAATTCTCCGGGATGGGAGATCCCAGGGGGATGCGGAGCTTGGGGGCGATGTCATGGAGAGCGTGCATGTTCCCAGATCCGCTTCCTGGATCCGGGATCCGCAGCCTCGGAGGGAGCCCTGAGGTCGGGGCTGCCCAGGCGGGAGCAGAGCTCCGTGGGGAGCGCGTTCCCGAATCCCGGATAAACAGGGATAACCCGTCCAGGGCTCCGGAAGTGCTGGATTGTCCCTGTTGGAGCCTCGGCCCCTGGTGGCTTTTCCTTCCCATCCATCGTTTCCCTCCAGGCGTTTCCAATAATAGCATGGGGCCGGGATGGCTGCAGCGCCCCGGGATGTGCAGGCTCCCGGAGCACTCCTGGTTTGGGAATGGAGCAGGATGAGCGGCCCTGGTTTAGGGAATGGAGTGGGATGAGCAGCCCTGGTTTAGCGAATGGAGCGGGATGAGCAGCCCTGTGTTGGGAATGGAGCGGGATGAGCAGCCCTGTTTAGGGAATGGAGCAGGATGAGCAGCCCTGTGTTGGGAATGGAGCAGGATGAGCAGGTTCCTTCCCTCCCCTTCCACCTCGGCCGCGGGCTGCCCGGCCACGGCTCCGATCCTGCTTCCCGCGGGATGTGGAGGAGGTCGCGGCTCCGCAGCCAACGGCTCCCGCATGGAGTGGGGGCTCCCGGAGTGCTGCCTGCGCGAGCGGCTCTGGCCGCTCCGGATCCATCCTGACTCGGTCCCCTCTCCTGCTGCTGGGAGCAGCTTCCACAGGGATGGGGAAGTCGGGAAGCGGGAAACGCCAGCCCGGCCAGGAGCATCTGATGGGATGGAGGATGTTGGGGGGGGATGTGACACATTGGACATGGGATGCGGGATACAGGATGGGTGATGCGGCACATGGGATGCAGGATGTGACACGTGGGACAAGGGATACAGGATACGGGATGGGGGATGCCGCACATGGGCACAGGACATGCGATGCAAGATGGGGGATACAGGATTCCGGGATGCAGGGTGCATGACACGGGATAGGGGATGCGGCATGCAAGGGAATCCCTCCGGATGCCGATCCGTGTCCCCCCCCCAGAGCTGGTGCTGGGCCAGGCGGCGGCGCCGGCGCGGCCGGTGAGCGGCGTCCGCGGCGGCTCCGCGCTGCTCTCCGTGGCGCTGCCGCACTTCTGGGAGCAC